TATGTATGTATGTATGTATATATATGTATATATATATATATATATATGGGTGTGTGTGTGTGCGTGTGTGTGTGTGTGTGTGTGTGTGTATATATGTACGTATGTATGTATGTATGTATGTATGTATGTATGTATACATATATATTTATGTATATTTAACTATCGATATACACTAATAGATGACTCGATAAGGTAGTCTTGTCCGCGAAACTGAGGACACTGAATTTTATGGAGCTATTCTCAATTGTAGATATACACTTATAGAAAACTCTATATAGATAATCTTGTTCGCGAAACTGATAGCACTGTATATTCATTTCCAGCGTTCATTTCCCATTGTAGCCGTGTAGTATATGAGAATAGAGATTTCCATGTTCGAAATTCTTCATAATCGTGGATAGACCAGTAGATTGAAGCGCCTTCGACTCTTCTATCAGAGTATTTGTTTATTACCATATTGGTATGATCCTGGCATCAGCAAAATTTTATTCCAAATTTTGCGTGGTTCGCTCAAATTGTTCAGGTTGAGGTTGGTACATGAGTTGTATGCAATTTTTATTTTAATGTGACAGGTGCTCTCACCAGTCGGACATGTTATTCTATTACACGTGTAAAATGCTGGCTGGTGTGGATCACATGCGAGTATTTCACAAAATGAGATTTATCTCGTGCTAATGAATTTAACAATAGCTTCATATTTGTAGTTTCATTATCTTAACCAATTAGACACAATCTTCGTGATTGTTTTGTCAATCACATATATTTTATAGGCTGTGGTCATCAAGCAGACTGGAAAATCCATCAGGTTGAGAATGGCTAAAATACCCCAGACAGACACAGATGTACTCAAAAACAAGGTGGTAAATCTTCATCATCATATTTCAACCTATTCTGTGCTCTCGCATGAGCTGCATTATATAGTATTCACAGCAAGTTGAATTCCATTATACACGTATAATCGATTGGTAATTAGTGGGTTTTATAGAAGATGGAGATGTGCAGTTCATTGGATGGTGTGTAAATGCCACGCCGCAAATAAAGTGAAGGTCAATCAGAAGTCAGAACTCGGAAATGAAGCAATTATGAAGGCCAGACCATCACTAGCTACTGTGACCAGAGTCACCAAACACTCCACTGACTCCAGATAGTCCAGAGTAGAAAAATTGTCCCATGTACATACAATCACACATCCGAGTATTTTATATTTTTATACATTTGTTTTGCTTTTCTTAAAAACCAAAGAAGCACCATACATAAATAGTTAAATACATACGGACTCGTTGGCAAGCTCCTCATCCTGTCTCTCATATTTTATACTCCACTGTTTACAGTTTCTAGAGAATCTAGAATTCAGAATTGTATTTAGATGGTTGCAGAGATGGGTGGTCATGATTTGTTTGGTGCATTTTTTTCAAGTGACTCGTTCGTGATTCGTGAACGTTTGCTCTTGCGACTTGGACCCGTTTTGGACTGTAAAATTTAAATTTTATGAATAATATATGTATTAAAAATTACAGTATATGTAATAAAGCATAAAGTATTGACAGATTAAAGAAGAGTAAATTTTTTATTAAAACAAAATGTAGGAAATGGTACAGAGTAAATTGTTTTAATTTTGAGGGGTTTTTAGCTTGACTGTTGATTGTTGAGTCATCATTGAGTAGTCAGTAGCCTGTATACTGCTGTGTTTTTTTTTAAATAAAGGGGTTTGATTGATGGATACGTTGGGTAGTGTTCTCTACACTACTGACTACAGTCTACTGACTCCTGTCCGCATCACTCTACAGTACAACTCTACATATGCAAACTCTTTTTAGTCTCTACAGTCTACAGTCTAAATAGTCACTGGATCTACACTCTACAGTCTACACTCTACAGTCTACACTCTATTTACACTCTACAATAAGTAAAATACGCCAGTAACACTGAACTCACTGTTTACTGTCTAGTGTCTACATAGACATACTCTACATACAGCTAACCTCAAACCGTTTTTCGTTAAATATTCATTTACGTTCAACTTTTATTCCATATGCGGTCCTCTGTGTGCTCATAGGTGCACCTTGCGGGTCTAAACATTTCAGTGTGTACCGTTTTCACGATACGAGCCAGTCCTACAAAAACAGGAAACCCCCGTTATAACGTTTTAAAATTGAATAAATATGCGTTTACGTTCGACTTCTATTCCGTACATACCCCCATCACATCCATTACTATACAGAGTAGAGGTACAATAGTGTACTCTCTCTCTAGAGTGTAGTTGTATATTTACTATTTACTAAATACTAAATAAATAGTAAATACAGTCGACAGTATATGCTGTACAGTGTACAGTGTACCATTTGTACAACTGTACAGTGTACAAGCATGAGTCATAAGTCATATGTAACTCATAACAACTCAACAGTCAATAGTAGCTGACTCCCCCTGTGAATTCTGACTCCCGACTCCTGACTGTGAGTATGTTTTTTCTATAAAATTAATATTATATTATTATACAAACATGTATAGTTGTATACAGTACACATATATCAATATTATCATATATCTGTGGCCTGTGCAATATGTGTATGTATGTGCGTTGCCTTCTCGTTTTTTGTTTTTTTTTTAATTTGATCTGACCGTATAATTTAAGGTCTGCACAACACAAAGGGTAAAACCTACAGCTATTTTAATTGGCTTTTGGAATTTTATATAAGCCAAAATGAACAAACAAAAGCCTCCCGCCTTTTACGAATGACCTTTTACATAGTTGTTTTCACCAATCACAATTGAAAACCGAAAATATTGACAAGTGAATTTACATTTAGGATATAGTCGATTTCATGGGTTCATGTTTACAGGTTTTAGAATGCTTGTACTATTCAGTCATGTTTGTACTACAATATGACTTGATAACCGAACTTTGACATCTGACATCTAACATCATCTCCTTAGCACAGCCATTTGGTCTCCACGATACCATTGAAGTTCATGACAAATAAATATCGGCAAACTTTTGCAATACTGTTCATTCTATCTCCCTAGCTGACAACAACAGACAATCCGTCAGATACAGAAACGAAAGTTGAATGAAGTATAGCATATATAACAATGAAGATCAATAATTGCATACTCGTAGCCACCACGATGGTGTGCTTGTCGACATTTGCAGTGAATGCTGAAAATGCTATGGACAAGTCCTTGGGTGCAATGGATCTTATCATAGACGAAGGACCCCTGGAAGTTGAAGCGAGCGCTATTCTAGATGACATCGAATTTAATCCAGAACTGGACTTGAATATCCATATGAATGCCTTCGGCAGCAACGATTTAGAAATGGAGTTAGATATAGTTATACCTAAATTCGACGAAGAGGCTGTAGCGAGGGGTACGGATGCCATCGTAGAGTCCGATGGCAATTCACCGACATTCCTGTTCGCAGGGACCGACTATTCGTTGGCCATCCTGGGCTCTCTACTGGGTATATTCGCACTGATTGTATGTGGAATAACACTGAAGAAACGCAACCTTCTCTACGGCCCAGAAGGCGATAACCGGTTACCTTCACCGACGCAGCGACGTGCGTATAGGCGCGCAACCTGGAGCACAAGCCCGTGGGTAAGTGGGAAGCCGACCAGTAAGTGATCCCCTAATTGTCTGCTACGTTAATCGGCACCCGTCGGATAATACGTTAGATGGCGCATGACATTTTCTGACTAATCGATCCTAACGACTGCATCGGGAAATGTTGAAGAGCACGCACGAGGAAAGGCTGCCAGGGGAACTACCCCGGTCGCCGCCCAGGAATCGACTAAAATCACTAAAGCTCGCCCTATAATATAGGAAGCAATGATGCGAAGCTCAAGGTGAAAGCGAAGCTGAAGGTAGAACCGGAGGGATCCATTGTACACACTATCCTACCATCCCATATCGGTTTGACACCCTTACAGGGTTGAGAGTCAGGAGATGAACATAAAGACTGTCTAGTGCATCGTTGAAGCGTACATATTTACTTCGTGAATTGGGTTACTGTTCATATTCCATTTCTGTGCCACCGAATTTCATTTGACTTCATTTCAACGTCGACTAAATCTTTCACTTATTCGTACTCTACTGATTCTCCGTCATGTTCGTACTCGCCTAACCCGACACATGCATCACCGCTGTCAATACACCAGGCGCAACCCGCGATCACAATATACACTATAATTACCGTGCATCAGGGTATGGAGTTAGCTTTTGTCGATTGTAAAGCCCGCTATAAGTCCGCTATAGTCCGACTCCAAGGTCCATGAGATGTGACGAAGGACGTAATCCAACAAAGCATTCAACTGTCCCAACCGTGAAACATAAGAATCATACAACACCGAGTTCAATATTAAAGGCTATAAAATAAGCTTGTAAAAAAATATCTTGGTTCGACAGAGTAACAAGAATAGTGTGTGCTGATATTCGCAAGCATTCGCTTGGCTTCATGTTTAAACTCTAAATCCTAAAATCCCTAAACCCTAAACAATGCTAAATGTTGTATATCACAAGTTTTATTTCGCTTTGTCGGTCGTCCAATAAGCACTTCAATCTCTTCCGGCGTGTTCTTCACGTGCGCGGTCGCGATCCCGACTATTGACTTTTGCGGGCTCCCAGGTGTACTGTCTGTATGTTACGAAAGTGATATGTGCAATATGAGTCTTGATAGAAGCATTCGAGTACATTGATAGAATTGCTAGCCAAATGAAAGGATCAAATTAGAGGATAACAGGGCCAACACAGGCCGATTGTTCACATATCACACACGGACACAAACGATGGAAGACAAACGCAGCGCCTGACTTACCGTCCACGCCTCGAGTTGCCGAATAACTCTCTGCGCAGTTCACGGCCGACAGGGCGTACATGCATGAAATTACAGAATCCACCACGACTGCATTGCTCCATCTCGTACTGTCGACAACACGCTTCGCGGAAATCTGTCACCGGCGATAACTCGGCATGGATAGGTCTGCCTGTGAGGATATTTTAGTATTGGTATTTTGTTCAAAGCGTGCGTGCACGATATCGTCGAAACACAGACATGCACGCTTCAAGTTTTTAATGCTTGTAGCACAGCCTCCACAACAATGCAGACAACTACAGCATACAAAACAGAAAGCTAAACGAACACGCCGTAATAAGGTGAGAATCGCAGTATGGATCTACTTTAGCGTAATATAATGATTTGAATAAAGAAGCAATTTTAACTTGACAGCATTAGCTGGAGATGTAAAAACTAAAAATAGCAAGGTGTAGAGGATTTTATAAGCGATTCTAAAACCAACAACAAGATATAGGTGCGTCCATTTGGAATCGCTACCAATGAAAATTCTTGCGAACGTACCTGCAAACCACCGATTAGTTAATCCCAACACTGCCTTCTCGGCGGCTTCTTCTTGTGCGAATTTGATATACACATTTCCCACCAAATGATCACCCAGGTTATCGCAAACGTTCATCTCCTCGATTTCGCCGTATTTCTCTGTCAGTTCCACACATAGATCTTCATATATTTCTGTATAGAAAATGTAGTTAAGGCCAGTAGTCCGTGAGTTCGTTGCATAGCACAATCAGAATGTGAACTAAAAGAATTATTTCCAAAAAATAAAACTAGATATTCTAATGAAGAAGCCTAGCAAGATAGTGAGTTGAGTATCCACAGTGAAGCTGTTAGTTTATAGTACAATTTATCACAAAATGATACTGACTGGCTACATACAAACAAACATATCGAGATATCAAATACATGAACTTATACGTCTACACATAGTATATATATATATTAATATATATATATATATATATATATCTATATATATATGTATATATATATATATATACATATATATATAGTTACTTTATATATTATTTAGTATATATA